GGCACCACCCAAGGCCCTTGTTTAGGTAACCGACGGTGGTGCTTAGCGGGATCATTGATCCCTCAAACTTTAAAATCATTTTAGAAAGTAAACTACCGAGTTTGTAGAAGGGTAGACGAAATGTTCATTGATTCTGTGGAACTACGTCACGAGGGATATCAGAAGTGGTAAATTTGCTCGACGTGACCATAAAAATTGCCTCTGACGTCACGTCAAAAACGACGGAATTGCCTAGTTTGCGGCGGCCTTTAGATTCCTTGCACACCACAAAGGAAAAGAATTGTGCTAAACCAAGCCGGAAGGTGACAGTGCTGTCTCTTTTCAGCTCCAATGGGAGGAGTTTCGTGTATTAGTTTATATAGTATTTGGTATTTCCAGTAGGGTCAGACCTAATGACGATTTTATTCGTTATAACATTTATACTTTTATATATATATATAAAACTCATCTCTACTCTCAAAATTAAGTGTGTGACATTTTATAGTACCTGTAATTAAAAATATAAAAAGTTTTTATAACAAAATCTCATAACAGATGGTGCCACACACAATTTTGTTATGTAATTAAAATTATTGAAGTTATTTTATAAATAAGATTTCAATAGCCAGGAAAGTTATGCAACTCGTTGCTGGATTTTTTTATTTTTACAGCATAATATTACATTACAAGCGTCCATTTTGCTATTATTTCAATACTAGATTCTGTTTTTAAGAACGAATTATAAATCTTTATAATTTCAGCAGCTCTAAAAAACCTCTCCAATTATTATTTCAAATATGATAGGAGTGTTAGAATTGATGTATTTCCTGATAAAAACATTAAAAAATTTGATTTACATTATTACATAATTTATTTGCAAAAATTCATATGTAAATACTAAGTACACTCAAAAAAAAATATAAAGTGCAGTAATTCCGTCTTTATTAGCAATATTAACTTCAATTGTATACTGAAGCAGATACTGTTCAACACCGTATTGGCCAGTTTTGAGCGCTTTGTGAATCACTGTATTTTCTCCTGTCTTTCACATTAACATCTACATCTGCTTGAATCAGTACTGTAAATGTAAAGCTTTTTCATGATAACCCTCAATGGCTTTCATTAGTGAAGTTTTCCTATTGATATCCTGATCATTTACATTAGGATCTCTTTCCAACAGGATTTCAATTGAGAGGTTGAGGCAGACGTTTTAAACGTGTAAACGTATAGGACAGACGTTCGGTGCCGCTTTCCCGTAAACCTAGAAGTTTGACGATGGTGTTTGGAATGTCGAGCGTGATTCCACCGACTATCCAAACACCATTGTCAAACTTTTAGGCTTACGGGAAAGCGGCGCCGAACGTCCGACCTACACGTTTACACGTTTAAAACGTCTGCCTCAACCTCTCTAATAACTACAATATTTCCTTTTGCTGCTGCCAAATGTAATGGAGTTTGATTTTCATCGTCTTTGCTCTCCAATGGTATTGACTTCAAACAATTCTTAACATCGCTCTCCTTATTCAACTAACACTCACGACACAACTTGGTGAAAGTTTTTTCTACTTTTTGATGTCTACAGTATAACCAGCATAAGATTCTGGTACAGGATTTTGCTACCATAATTTTTATTTAATGGTTTATATCACTGAAAACTTTTGAGAAGCTTCTTCAGATCATTATGCTTTATTCTTATCCAAAATCAATATTAATTACTTTTATAATTATTTCTTTTTTTAACTAAAAAAAGGAAGTTTTTTAAATTGTCCCTTTTTCTTCGAGAGAAGTTTGTACCACTAATTGTAATTCAAATGATTTTCATTCCCATTAGTTTCCTTTCCCCCTCTTTTTTTCTCTTTATGCCCTTGGACACTAAGAGGGCCTGTTAATCATATCCATTGCCTGGAGGCAATGGATATGATTAAAACAGTTTCAATGTAGATTTATGGATGTTGGTGATGACAGAGTGGTGAGAGACGGGCTCGACATATCCATCCATGAAAAATATAATGAAATACGTAATGATTTTGGATTGCGATAGATAACTAATAATGTAATTGAAGAAACTAAAGAAAGATTTCAAAATATTTTCATAATTTAGTGGATAATATTTGGAATAACCTAGCCATATCAAAAAACAAACGTTTCCGCATGTGAGTACCAGGTTAACCCAGGGATGAGCAACGTTTTTCTACGGGTGCGTTTACCTCTAAATACCGGAAGTGATGTCATTAGCATGTGTATTCGTACTTACATGTCCAGTTAGAAAGTAAACGCGAACTCTAACAAGAAATATGGCGGTTTGCTACAAACAGGGCCGGATCATCGCATGACAAATGAGACAAATGTCTAGGGCCCGGTCAAACTGTCTATTTTGAAAAGATTTGTAATAAGATAGTTTACTTTTCTGTTGAACAACTTTATAATACTGGCAAAACTGATAAAATATGATATTATTTAAATATTAACCAAAAAGATTAAATTAAACAAGTAAAACGGCAAAACCGTATTTGGGACACAACTATATCTCGGAGACACTACTAAGCGGAATCACTTTGACGCTCAAAGCGGATCTCGTTTTCATTCTCCAATCTTCTTTGGTATCGCTGCTTTTGGGCGCGATCGTTCAAACTTCGCCGGCCACGACCACGAGGTCGTCCACAATGCATTTTTGATGAAATTAACCTATCCAATTTCAAATTTCTCTCCGTTGCAACCCGTCGGCCCGGGTTGAATTTTTGTCGATGCCTAACGAAAATTTCCCGTTTTTGAAAAAAATAATCGTGACTATTGTATCGTCCGAAATTATGTTTTTATTTTACACAAACAATATACAGTTTAACCCGATTATGACGTCATCGGATGTAACGATAACCCTAATATAACGTCAAATTTTTATAGGTTCCATGATTTTACTATACTAGATAATGTTAAAAACCTACTTGTAACGACATAAAACCCTGTTTTAATGTCATATTTAAAGCACTCCCAAATTTACAAAATTAAATTATCCAAATTTTATTCAACAAAGAAAATACTATGTGTTCAGTCCTAGGGTCTCAGTCCAGTTCCTAGAACGACTGTGGGTGGTACTCTCACCACCTGACTTCGGTTTGCCTGTTTGTTAGAGAGAGTCGTCATTTTGTATTTTACTTTGACTCGGTCTCGGTCCTTTGAGTAGCTACCTACAAGTCTGGTTTTTTTTTATGCGCGCGTGATTTGGGCACTTAATATTCTGTGCCATATTGCAACTCCTGACATGTACTCCTTCATACCTCTAAGCTAGTAACACAGCAGGCAGTGCGATTTTATAAACAAGACACAGTCTTGTTGATAATTAATATTTTAAGGTAATATTTTTTTTTGTATAACTTTTGTTAGACATTTAATAAAATAAATTTAAATTTTTAAAATTTATAAACAAACTGTTCAAACTTTTCTAGAAAAACTAAAATTTATTGTTGTGTATTAAATATTTTTTATTAATAAAAATTTAAGATTTGTTTTAGTTTTTTCACATTATTTAGCTTTGTTTTATTTATTGTTTTATATTTTTGTGTGCTTTATTTCTTGTGAGAGAGGGGGCACGGTAAGAAGAAAATGTCTAGGGCCCCAAAGTGGGTTAATCCGGCCCTGGTAGTATGTGTAATTACATATTTATTCATAAAAATGAGTATTGTAGCATTTAACTCCATAATATATTAAAATACCATTAATTCGAATGCAATTGTCAACACTTAGTGATTAATGCTATAAATATTAAATGTATTGTCTCGTACAGAGCCGTAACTAGGGTATGGCCAATGTGGCCCTTGCCATAGGCGCCGATTTAATAAGGCACCACGAGACGGTTTCGGAATAATATGTATTCGAAATTAATAACAAAAAAAATTATATTTATATTTATATAGTATTTAAATGCCATTAGATAATTTTTTAGAATAAAATTATTTTTTTAAGTCATTTTTATTCTTGGCCATAGGCGTCGAAAATCCTAGTTACGGCTCTGGTCTTATATATTATTTATCAGTAACTATTTTTGAAATTAATTTAAACAGTGTTAGTATAGATTTAAAATGTAATTTAACTTCATTAAGTTCAGAATTTTATACAATTACAGACAATAGACAATACAGTTTTGTACAGTAGAGTGGAAACTTCCGGATTCCAGCAATTCATTAATTCGTTTAGACACTCCTTTCTCAATTAATTCTGATTAACAACATTTACTGTGTTTATAAAAGACATAACTTGAATAGCAATGATCTAATAGAATATAGAATATATTAAGTTATAAATATTAAAATATAGATATCGTCTTTATACGAACCATCTGAGATCTTTAGTGGATGCCATACTTTCTTACAACTAAGTAAATACAAACATTACTATTTTCATTCTTAGAAATAAAAAAAAAATCATATTTTCTTTCAGTAAATATAAAACTAATTTTCTTATCAAAGAGTTATAGAAATTTATCTTTAAGGTTAAAGAAAATTTTAGTGCATTTGATCAAAAATAACTCGATTTTATCTTAAACATTAAGAATTATGTAAATTTAATGAAAAAAAAAATTTATTGCTAAGTCAAAATTTTCGCAGTAAATAGATGCAATCATCTAATGGATAATAATGAGTATAATTAATTTTATTTACAGTATATCAGCTGAAAACTTAGACAGAAAAATTAAAATTTTGCTGATTTCGTTCATTATTTCAGTTGTTCTTGTTAACTGAGAAGCCAACATTCAGTAGTTTAATTGGTGTACTGACGTTTTTGTATGTATAAAATATTTTTCTTTTAATATGCTTAACATGATTTTAGCAATGGTAATATATTTCAAAAATACTTAAGAAAACCTTCCATGCATTAAGTATTTTTTACTGTTTTTATATATTAATACAGTAATTTAATTATATAAAACTTAATTATGTTTATTTTATATGTGATAAAGATATACATTTAAAAAGTACCAAAATAAATCAACAAAATAACATTATTATTAATGGATAAAAATATAATTTTTTTTTTTTTAAAAAAAGCTAAGCAAAATATTGAGTAGAACAAACGAGAGCATTATCTTCATTATTGTAAAACGTGAGATCAATTATTTTTCTACTTCTTTTACTTCTGGAGATCGTTCAAAAAACATAAAATCCTTCAAAGATAAAATAATTATATTAATATTATTATATTTTTTATCATAAAGTTTGTTCATTTTTATAAATTAAACTTACGATTAAGAAACAAGCACCCAAAACAACAGCTTTTATAGTAACATCGAGATCTTTAGGAAAAGAAATGCCAAACACGTCAGCATTTGTAAAAGCTTCTTTGGCTAAATTTGACCATTTTTTTGATATTTTACCTACATTATTTCCTTCTACGTCATATACCTATATATATATATTTTTTTTTAAATATTAAAAAAACGAATCGTGAAATTCTATGTATAGAATAAATGGGGGTGAAATGGATCAGTTTCAGCAAAATCACTTATTGTAAAAAGAACTATAACAGAAAATTAAATGAATTGCACTGTAAAAAATTATCACAACTAGCGATTGAAAGACCATAATTCGCAAACACCTAAGTTTATTGGGAGTGATGATATAGACATTTCAATGTATTATCTAACAATCCATTTTACACCAATGTAGGAGTGAAATGAATCATTTCAATTTCCATATGGAGTAAAAATGGGTAGTATACTTTTTAATTATAATAATGAAACTAATCATAAACAAACTCAATACATTAAAATATTAGGGGCAGTCAAATGAAAACGAGACAGGTGGGAAAAAAGTAAGTAAACTGTTTATTAATTCAAAAGTAATTGCCATAACTGTTGATACATTTATCCCACTGTGAGACAAGATGGTCAATGCCTTCATAGAAGAACGTTTGCGGTTGCTACAGAACCATGATTGTACCCAAGCGTGCACCTTTTCGTCCAAAGCAAATTGACGGCCACGAGTGTCTTTCTTCGGGGCTCCAAAAATATGGAAATTGCATGGGGAGAAATCCGGACTGTATGGAGGATGTGTATGGACTACGCCGCAGAAGTGCCCAGCAAAACTTCTGCAGCGTAGTCAAAACAACCTTGTTAACATGTGGGTGGGCATTATCCTGCAACAGAATGATGCTGTCTGTCAACATTCCCGGGTGTTTGGATTTGACGGCACGCTTCAATTTTTGCAAAGTTTCTATGTACCGCTGTGCGTTAATTGTGGCGCCATGTTCCAGAAAGTAAACAAGCAGCGGACCTCCATAGTGATGTTGGACGCACACACGACTCGACAACCTCACTTCGAGCATGTCTAACAGACAAATGGCACAGGCGGTGAACGTTTACACTGTTCCTTCCTGATTCCCAATAGAGGGCACTTCTATATACACACCTACCTGCATTACCAACTTCCATGCCACACTTGTTATATAGTCTGTCTCGTTTTCATTTGACTGCCCCTAATAGTTTAAATTAGAACAATTCAAGAGCATTTTTGCATGATGGGTATAAAAAAAGTCTCACAAAGCAGAAGGAAACAAAAATGAAAATAAGAGCCCCGTTCCTTACCTTCTAAATGGCCGTAGGGTTCTGCTTCCTCTGAACTAGCCTCTAAAATGTCACGTTTGTTTTATTATTGGAATTTTTCGGAAATTTCTTGAATCTGTTTAGCCTTATGGGAAACCAAGACCCCGGTCCCTATCTAGTTACTCTTACTGACTGCCTGACCAGCTCGGATTTTGGGTTAAGTCTTGCTCCTTTGGATATAATTTGAGACCTTGTACTAAAGCCATATTAGACTAACTCTATTCTTGCTTTAAAAAACTGTTTTAATGCATTTACAGTGTAAAATTACATGTTAAAATAAAAAGATCATGATAGCAGATGGTCATTATTTCTATTATAGTATTCATACAGTTTCTGTAGATAAAATTTCATAAATTCTAATTACCCATTTTACCTCGCCCAATGCAGTACAAAAAAGCATTTTTAAAATTACAACCTTTAAAAAAATTGTAAAAGGCATTTTTAGTTATTGACTACCTGCACATTAGACCTACCACAGCATAACATCGTCAAAAACCCAATCTACTTTTGCTTAATAACAGGTCTGTATTTTTACTTGCAATCATAAGCGTAATATTTCACTTTATTGCTAGTGCCGATAAAAAAACTTATGAAGTATTACGTGTTGTCGTTGCTCATGCACAGACACACACACACACACACACACACACACAAATTTTCTATGAAACCGGAAGCGAGTTTCGCCAAGTATTTTCTTTCTTATCTTCTAGAAACTTCAACTGAGCAGAGGCACGTAGGGACAAAACAAAAATTTAAAAAAATCTCTTTAAAATATGATGCTAAAAGCTTAGCTTGATCCATTTCACTTCAAGTTACTGTAATCTTGATGCTCACCTTAAAATTTACATCGCAACAACAATTACAGCATTTACAATTGCAACAGGGACCAAGTATACTTAATATTTTCTCTCCTTCATGATTTTGTATGGAAAACTTTGTCCTCATTATGCTCCAATCTTGTTTTATTAAGCCAATTTTTGTTCCTGGTGGAGCCATAACTTCCAATTCCTAAAATAACATTATAAACGAATTAATTTTATTATTTAAATTTTCTTAGAATGAAAAGAAATAATTGTTTACTTGAAGAAAACATGGGCACCAACAAGTCATGCAACGTAATGGACGACTAAGAGATATAATTTCATTGGCAGAACTATTTAAAAGTTTCATTTCGAATGGACGAATTGGTCCACATAAATTTCGAGTCAAACAATCCGTCTCTGAAAAATATTTAATAAAATATTTTATATTGACATAAACCTTGTGAGAAATTAAAGTTTAAATTATTTAAAATAATTTATATAAATAGGCCTATATAATTTTATAAATCAAATATTTCTTTAAGCATTTAATTTATAGAAATTTTACAATTAAATTCCAGAATATGTTCAGTCACCTTCAACAGCATAATAAACAATTTGTCCTAATTCATTCTTTATTGAGTATTTATTTGCCGTTTCGAATCCAGTCAAGGCTGATAAATAAATAAATGAAATTATTTAAACTGTATTTATATTTTATAATTATTTAAAAGGATTTATTATAATATCTTAACCTTCTAAAAGTTGAACTTCCTGTTCTACGAAAAGTTTATCGAGTGTACACAGATATTCCAATCCAGGAGGACAATCAATAGGTGATGTAGGTGCAGGCATCCATTCTCCCACAACGCCTTTATTAAAAATAGTAGTAAAAGGAAGAAAGATAAGTCTTCCTACTTTGTTCAGTTTAATTCTTTTTATAAAATATTTAAAATAATTAAAAATTTACCTTTGACTATTTCCTCATTACTAACGTCATCATCAGCAAACGGAATCTCCTCATTTTCTGGAGGAGTTAATGGAATCGAAACTCCATTTTTGCTAGAATTATTTAATGCATTTTTCTGTTTTTCAGACATGATCCTTAACGAAAGTTGCAATTTCCTTATTTAAAAATTAATTCACTTCATTATATAACTGATTAATTTTAATATTCGGATTAAAATACTACACAAATTATAATATGCGCTTGATAATTTTTATATATTATCAAGTGAAAATTAATTTAATTATTTATGCAATTATATATGTATATATAAAAAAATAATTTAATTATTTTTAAGCGTGGAAACATTAGTAAACCAAGATTTTCCTCATATTAATCTGACTTGCATGATAAAGAAAACACAATTTTTTCAGGTTTTTAATAATATTAAAGTGTAATAATCATTTCTTAATAATTAATTTAATGTATATTTGTTTAAAATTTATTAAAAATTTAAAATTATTCACTTGAAATAGCTTCGTTCAATACAAATTAATTGTCTCAAAAATTGACAATCCCTTAATCAAATAGGAAAAGAAATTAAAATATTCTGTTTGTAAACACTATATCGAGGGTGACTCATGTCTTAGCTTGTATAAAATGCAAGCTGCGTTTGAATCAGTATTTAGCTATGTTCAACAGATGGTTCCTTCATAAAGTAAGTAGAGAAGGTCGTTTAATCGCATTAAAGCACAGCATATAACGTAAAAAAATCTAGAAATTATTTTTGATCAACGTGTCATTTAATATGTTTACTTTATTATATTTAGTACTCGATAAATATAAGAATATTATGTAATTAGAAATAATTCAAATTCATTTGGTAATTCTATATTTTGACCTTGTTAATTCTGGTAGCAGAAAAAACGATTTGAAATTCAAAACTTAAACAAAATGGCGAAGGCGACTGGTACTTAATTGATGTGGGTGGAAGAAAATTATGAAAGCAGTTTATATAAAGTACATAATTTAAATAGTAACAAATTACATCGATAAATATCTCACTTACTTTTGCATGTTTAAATTTTTATTTTATGCATTTATCTATTAAAGAAATCAATTAAAACACACACAACTCTAATTAAACATTAATGCCACAATGCATTAATGCTATTGTTATTATTATTATCTTGAGAAAAGTTATAAAAATTATGCTTTTATATAAATTCTACAACATTAGTCTATAAATAAATGCATTTAAATTTATTTAAGTTTAATGGACTCTATCTCTTAACTGCAAACGATAACAATAAGAAATCAGTAAAAATAAATATTATATTTTTGGTTTAATGATAAAAAAAATGAAAAATTCGAATAATTTAAATATAAATTTACAGTTTCATTATATTATGCAGAATTAAAGTTCTAAGTACTTACCCAGTGCTACTTTTTACCTACATTGAATGAATATGTTCACTTTCAACGGGATGCTCTCAATGTCATTTTACAAATGATATTGTCTAGCCAATCAGCACTAGTTTCTGCTTATTACGTGTTATTAAAAGGATGATATGTTTTCATACTAAGTATTTCTTTCAGACTGAATGAATCGCAAAAAATTGTAAAATCGTTCGAACTTCGTTATTTTTCACGACTTTTAAATTTCAGAATTAAAATACATATAATATATATATAGGCCTATACATTAACATAATTAATATATAATTAAAATTGAGCGTGATTAAATTTATTATTTTTTATTTAATATTTTGTAGTAATTAATACTCCGTTCATTTATTAATTTAATATCTTCCGTTATCTCTCAAGTATACTGTCCTTTCATATTCTCTGTTAATAATAACCTGCATTTTCTACTAAATTTATTTAAAATGTTATGTAAGTTGTAAAAAGAAAAATTAGCTTTAAACTTCTTGATATCATAGCTTAGTAATGTAATTTATTTCGTTCTTATTTTTCTTTTGCTTATTTTCAAGGTCTTTCTGAAGTTAGAAGCAACTCAGGCTTATTATCACAATTAAAAAACTTATATAGAATACACATTTTATCGTAAAATAATGTAGAATAATGATACTGTATCATGTTATAGATCGCTATAATTATATAAAAATAAATTCATGCAATTAAACATTACATAACAGATCATTAATCGATAATATCTTAAACATATTTAGGTACGAAGTCATTACGATGATGTCGTGTTTTCATTGTATCTCAAAACCTTTTGCTTATGTTGCTAAATTTTGTGGTTTAGAACTATTTGAAGAATATAAAGAAAGTAATTGGAAGAGTTCTTTCTGGAAATTTTATGGAAATTTATGCCTTTACGGAATGTTTATCAGTATGCTAATGGATAGTGTATTGTTGCTTCTTCCTATGGATCTGATAAATCAGTTAACTTTTGGAACTCTAAATATTTATAATGATGGTATAACGCACAGATTATGTGAGGATTTATCTTTTTTCTTAAATGTTAGCTGGTGTTTATTAATATATAATAGTAAGAGATATAAAAAAATGATGCGAAAATTTATTCAATTGTGGAAAATTACTAAGTCTGTAATTTACGAGAAACAATTGGAAATTGATCTTCAGTATTGGCAGAATTACATTTTTGGTAGAATCTGTGTGATTACATTTATAGTTTCGATTTTAAATATTTTACTAGTTTTTTCACAAAAAATGGTCTCTTTATTTTACGGTACAAAAACACATGTAATGATAGTTTTTTCCCTCTTAGTTATTTTCTTAGTAAGACTTGCCTTTAGTGTAATCGTATTATCGATGTCATTAGGCTTTTTTATTTATATCTGTATGGCCATCAGATTAAAGTTTAAATATCTTCATGAAGAATTAATGGAATTTAAAAAGGATAAGATAAAAATTAAAAATGGCTTAAAACTGTTACAAATCAGGCATTATTTTTTAACTGAAATGGTTTTAATAGTCGATAATTGTTTTTCCAGCTTAATTTTTGCTACTATTGGTTGTTCGATTTCTTATATATGTACGTCAGCTTATCCAATTCTTTTTATCAAAACTGATATTTATATTAACGTAATGCTTTTTAGTTGGACAATATTTGGACTTCTTAGTTTAATAATTACATCACTAATTGCATCATTTATAATTGATGAGGTAAAGTTTATTTTTAATATGATATTAATGTTTATCTTAATGATTTCCAGAAGTTTACTATTTAGATACTTTAAGTAATAATACATCCGTATTCTTTTTAATACAGGCTCATAATCCTTATAAAACAATAATTCAACTAAATTCAAAGGAATTATCTCACGATTTGAAGTTAAAAGTAGGTTTGTATGGAAACATTTTAAAATAGTTCCTTGTATAACTTATAATTAACTGCAATTTTTTTTAGTTACAAATATTTTTGAAACGATTGAGTGGGCCAAAAATTGGTATCAGCTGTTTGGATATATATGTTATTAACAGAGGAAGTGTCTTTAATGTAATTATAATTTTATTAATTTAAAATATAACTTTTTAAATTTAAAAATAATTTTATTAATTAACACGATTTTATTTTCAGATTCTAAATTCACTAATCACTTATTTTCTTATTTTAATTCAAGTACAACAAATGAAAATAACAAATGCAAAAGACAGAAAGTAAATTAATCGAAATATTAATATTTTATATTTATTGTTCAATGTTTAAATATTTTTTTAATATTACAAATATCTGTGTTCTTAATATTCATTATATGTAAATAAATACAAAAAATTGAAACCTTAGATTAAAATAATAAAAAAATTTTATTTTATTCTACTTCAATGTCCCATTTCTTGTGCACAAGTTTAAATCTTCATTATTTCAACCTTTATTTTTAAATATTATTGTATATATATTATTTCCCTCTTCTTTGACTTTTTACCGTATTTTCAAAAAACATAAAATCCTAAAAAATAATAAAAAATGAATTTATAAATTTTATATTTACAAGAAAATATTGTTATAATATTAAAATGTTTATTATTATTATTAAATTTTCAGTTTTTTTTTATAATAACATTTCAAAAATCTGTGCGAAAACTCAAACAGATCAAAATATAAAATTGATTTGGATATGTAAGAAATTTTTAATAAATTTTCTTATTGTACATATAATGTATATATATATATATATTAGACTTTTTGCCCTGTGAGTACCAAGAAGACCGTTTTTTCAGCCCATCGTGGGTTGGACAAGACTCATAATGGAGCGGGCAGCCGCGGCCATGTATATCCGGAACAGACACCAATAAAAAATTCCTAGCGTTTTCCAGATTTGGAGGATACCAGTTTCATTGCCTATTCACGCCCGTTTTTTGCCGTTTTTTGTTGCAAGCATTAGTTATAACACAACATGAATGGTGTGTCATAGAAATTTTAAGAATATATCAATACATATACATTATGTAACTAAAACCCAAGTTATTAGCCAAACTTAAGTTTAAACTGCTGGAATAGGCCTTATCCCATAAGCTTCAAAGAAGGTGAACAAAATCATGCTTTCTCCCACACAGACACTAACATCTATACATACAGAAAAAACACCGAATTTTTTGCAATTCTTGACGTTTCAAGTCTCCCTGTGTTCAAAAATGTAAAAATTTTGACGGGTATTTTTGACCATACTTTCCCTCTGTTAGATATGACAGAGCCGGGAAAGTAAAGGTTTGATAAATTTGTTTCTATATAAAGCTGATATCTGGTGGCCAGAGGCTGAATGAACTGTGGTCAAAACCATAACTCAACTTCTGGTATAATATAGTAAATACAGTTCGTCATATTTTTTACTTTATTCTATATACATAATTTGACTTATTAGTGATTTTGTGATTTTTCTAAACTGAGTAAATTGATGATAATCTATAGGAATCACTCTTATTTCTTCTGAGATCGGGAAATAGGAGATATTTTCAATTGAAACAGCTATTTCACAGACCAGGCAGAAGTGAGATTCATAAATGCCTATTAGATTATTAAATTTAATAATTAATATATAACAACATAAGCTATAGAGTTCTTACTATTAAAAAAACGCTGGCTATCAGAACAGCTTTCATCTCCGGAGACGTAGAAATCGGAAAGCTTATACCAAAATTATCTGTATCTTTAAATAGATCTGGATTAACTTCTGTCCAGTGTTTAGTAATTTTTCCAACATGTGTAATTCCATCTTTATCCAGAAGCTAAAGAAATCCAGAATTATAATAATTAAAACTAATGAAAGGAATTATTAAAATATATTCTTACATGAAATACAGCATCGCCACACAGTGAACATGTACAAAAAGGGCCTTTGACCGTCAATTCGCATGTCCCCTCTGGATCTGTTATCCGATATTTTGGAGTACAGAAATTCCAATCTTCCGTTATTCTGCCTATAATGGTTCCCACTGGAGCTTCTACCTCTATAATCTAGCAAATATTAATTATTTTAAATTCTCTTTGTTTATTACTTTACAGTAATACAAACAACTAGTTAACCTGGCTGTTCCAAGGGAAACACCAGCAGTTACATCGACATGGCCGATGTACATGTATCACTTCTTGTCCACTACTGTCTATTATTTTAAGATGAAATTCTCTACAAGTTCCTAAACATTGTCTTTTGAATGGAGTAGCCGCTAAAATAATAAATTAAAAATATTCATAATAAATTAGTTATATTTATACCAGGGGTGTCCAACCCGCGGCCCAAGGCAAGTTCCAATGCGGCCCAATAAACGTGTAAACAAAACCGACAAATGTTTTAATTTTTATTATTATTTATTTATTTCAACGGCATAAACTCAAAAAAAAAGTTTCACAAAGCCGTAAACCTTTATTCATATTTTATTTTTGAGTGGAAAGAAAATATTTTCAAATATTTGGAGATGTGTGAATGCGGAAGGATTACTAAATAAAGCTGGAGTTGTGACTCAAAGGATTATAGACCCAAATTTGGGAAAGGGTGGGAAAGATGAGAAAGGACAAAAGATATAGTAGTGAGAAACGTTAAATAGATCTTCTGTTAAGCAAATATGGACCCGTAATTTTTCAACCTTTTTCACTTCTTTATCTTTTGTCCTTTGCCTCTTTTTCCCCGCACTTGGGTCTATAATCCTTTGATTCACAACTCCAGCTTTATTTAGTATTTCTTCCAACGTTGCAAGATTTGGCTACATTGGGCCAAATGTGGCTACTTTTTTTTGCTTGACATAAAAAATATCATTTGGCGCTTTGGCTACTTTTTCGGCTACATATTATTTATAATTATATTAATTGAATAAAAATGCACTTTAAAATGGTGTTTCGTCGCTTTTTATTAATTAGAGACCCAAATAAAACAAATATTTGTGTTTTTCAAATAAATTTTCTTTAGTCTCTTTTATAATAAATGAATTTATCTATTTCTAAGTAAAAATTGAAAGTGTCTGTAGAAGTAATTTTTTAAAATATCCTTTTTTCTTGATAAAGTTTTAATACTTATTATTATAATCTAGACATGTTAGTTTTTAAATATACTTATATATTGGGCCACAAGTATATATTATATATACTTGTGGCCCAAAACTCCTTGACTTCTTCCAATGTGGCCCAGAGAAACAAAAAGGTTGGACACCCCTGATTTATACAGAAGAAATATTAAATAAATATTTACTTTCCGCAGCTGCATATATGAGTTCTCCAAATCTATTTTTTACTATATATCTGTAATTTCCCTCTATGCCAGACATTACTGTAACAAAAAAATGGCTTAGTTTGTATTAAAAGAAACTAATAAATTAACTATTGAGTTTAAATATATGATAATTTACTATCTAATACTTCTTCTTGTCTGTCTAATATCAGTTCATCGAGTGATATCAAGTACTGTAAACCAGGAGGGCATTGCATAGTCGTTGAAGGTAGTGGCATCCATTGAACAGCACTATCTGCATTTAAAAAATAAATAATTGTGCTTTTATATTCCGTAACCGAAATATTTTATGTCAGAAGAGTTCTAAAATGATTAAAAATGGATATTACATTAAGTTCTGGCTAAATTGTTATCTTTTAAGCTAGCACCAAAGTAATTTTTGAGTTGATATGAATCGAGGAGCTGAGTGGAAAAATGGCATATCCCACATTAGGAATTTTCAAGAAAAAGAAGGATTTGTGTTTCAATTCACTAGCATTTTAATGTACAGCGTTTTATTAATGTGATTTACTGTATAACCTGTAGGGCATGTAACTGAACCGTGAAAATTTGATAGAAGATGGATTGATGATTCACAAATTCAAATTTGTTACTAACTCATTTCTTGTAGTTTTATGGGATATGCCGTTTATCCACTCAGCCCTTCAATTATTACACAAAAGTATTTGTTTAGAGCTAAGCAAATAAACACACAGACTTATACGTTATTTCATGTAATATATACATTCTGCAGTTTAAAAAATACTCAAAATAGCCTAATTTTTATCCAACAATTTTTATTTCATACATCAAATATTATGAGTAAATAATTAGACAAGTAGTCTACGAAATGTTATGTAAAATCAGAATTTGAGTGAAACAAAATAATTGTTAAATGATTTCTGTATATGATAAGTTTATTGCAAATAGGCCAGAAAAAAAAAAAAAAAAAAAAAAAAAAAAAATAGAACCTACCAGATACGTCTTGGTTATCCGAGATATCATCAATTGATTTTATACTGTCACGATGTCGAGGTTGTTGATTAATCGGCTGTGACTGATTACCTGTACTTCCGGGCAAAGGATCTGCCCACATGAATTTAGAAATTAATATTCTCGTTCTGAAACAAATATATTATGAAAATATAATTGTTGTTTAATTTTTTAAAAATATTTCCTACACCCTGATTTAATAGATTATAGATTAAAATAAAAATAAATTAGAAAAATTCAATCAATCACACGAATAATTCATTCGAAGTTATTCATATAATACTGTATTTGTTTAACTTACAAAAAGAAAAAAAAATAGTTTTTAGCAATCAATAGCATGAAGAAAACTTTTCAAACATAATTAATAATTCTGAATAATGTCAATTTGTTCTTGCTTTTTAACAAATATCTGAAAATAACACATATATTTTTTTTAATTAACAGCGCTTAAGGAATGTTTCTACCTAGAAAAATTTAAATTCATCAAAGAAACTCAAATAAAATTTAACTTACTTGAAAAACTAATTTATAGTTCCTTTTGAAATTAACATGTTGCCGATATTTTATCATTATTCTTATTTTCTAAACATTTTGCTTTTGTTTCTTCAAGATATCGACATCGATCAGTATCAGTGATTATGACATCATCAATCTGTTTGTTCGGTTTCTATGGGAACTCCATGCCATGTAGTATGTATTTGCACAGAATAACAAATTAATATAGTAATGAAATAATAAATTAATATTTTAACGATTATTAATACGGCTTATTTTATTAAAATTACGGTAATCTTATTATCTTGCTTACTTTACTGTATTTTACCATATAGTTTTAATGACCTTTCATTTTTCTTCTATTCGATTATTGAAAAATAAGCTTAAGATATTGAAAACTTTTAAATTCTTTTAAATATTTGAATAAAGATAGTGTTTATTTTCACAATTTTATTTTAAAAATAAAGGTTGTTTATTCTCTTTTAATAATAGTTGATCATTTTTATTTCATTGAGTAGCTCTTCGTTTATCTAGAATCGATAAAACAAAATATAATCAATATTTCCCATAAAACATTAGAAAAAATAATAAAAATATTTTAAAATTAATTAATTGCTAAGTTAGTAATTTCAAAAAATACTATTTTTAACTAAAAAATAATGTTCTCTAAATATATGTTGTTTATTACGATTGATTATGTTTAGTGGTTCTATATCAGGGGTGTCCAACCTTTTTGTTCCTCTGGGCCATATTGGAAGAAGTCATAGAGTTTTGGGCTAAAAGTATATATAATATATTTGTTTCGCAATCCTTAAATATACTTGTATATTTAAGGATTAACATGTATAGATTATAGTAATAAGTATTAAAACTTTATCACAAAAAAGAATATTTTAAAAAATTACTTCTACAGACCCTTTCAATTTTTACTTAGAAATAAATAAATTCATTTATTATAAAGGAGACAAACAAAAATTTATTTGAAAAACACAAATATCTGTTTTATTTGGGTCGCTAATTAATAAAAAAACAACAAAATACCATTTTAAAGAGCATTTTTATTCGACTAATATATTTATAAATAATATGTATCCCATAAAGTAGCCAATGTAGCTAAGTAGGCGGAGGCTCTTAACGCCTCGGCATCCAGTATTGTATTTTATGGATAATTCAATAAATAAAATCGAATGTTCTTTCTGGTGGCTATCAAGGCTTACTTTTGATTTTTTTTAAGNGATTTGCACAACACTTGAATAAATGTAAATACCCTGCACTGAGGTGATGTACGTAATAAACAAAGGAGCAAGCCGAATCCCAACGGGAGCTCTGTACTTCATATATACTAATAATATATTCTAATAATGCTAATATATTATAAAAATAGCAGATTGTCATTGGCAACGGCAAAAGAGTAAAAACGTCATTCGCACTTGTTCGCAGAAAGTTTGTTCTTCGAATCACGTAACGGCCTAACAGAAAGTCCATTGTTCGCAGCGTCCATTATTCGAGGCATACGTTATACGAGACACCACTGTATAATATATTTGTAACCCAATCCTTAAATATACAAGTATATTTAAGGATTAACTTGTCTAGATTATAGTAATAAGTATTAAAACTTTATCACAAAAAAGAATATTTTAAAAAATTACTTCTACAGACCCTTTCAATTTTTACTTAGAAATAAATAAATTCATTTATTATAAAGGAGACAAACAAAAATTTATTTGAAAAACACAAATATCTGTTTTATTTGGGTCGCTAATTAATAAAAAAACAACAAAATACCATTTTAAAGAGCATTTTTATTCGACTAATATATTTATAAATAATATGTATCCCATAAAGTAGCCAATGTAGCTAAGTAGGCGGAGGCTCTTAACGCCTCGGCATCCAGTATTGTATTTTATGGATAATTCAATAAATAAAATCGAATGTTCTTTCTGGTGGCTATCAAGGCTTACTTTTGATTTTTTTTAAGTTTTAATGAATAATAAATTATAGAATATTGGGAAACCCTAAACACTAGATAGATAAAATTCTTATAGTAACTCTGTAATATAAAATATATTGTTTTGAAAAATAAATCATATTCATATAAAATATTTAACTTACTTTTAATAATTTGAAATATTTGAAAATTAAGAATGTGCAGTACATATTCACAAAATTTTTAATGATAAAAATTGACAAATTATAATTTAAACGATTTTATTAATAATTACTTGAAATTGTGTACATTTATTATATATTTTAAAATAATATTAAAGTATTATAATTGGTTTTCTTTGAAAACTATTACGATAATTTGTTAAACGCACTAAAAACAAAGTACAGTATTAAATTACAGCTGTGAATATCTACAGTATGAATGAATGAGGGGGAAAACAAATTTTATAATTATAAGATTATTTTTACTCTATATTTTAATATTTTAAACCAAATTTTAAAAATATCATGTATAAATAATTTGAACTGTAAAATAAAACGTTTTCTCAGAAGTGTGGTGTAGACTGTTTTATATGCCACATTGTATCAAATCATAAAGACTAATTGATAGTTATTTTTAATATAAAAGATAGTAACTTAAGTAATATATATATATATATATATATAATTTCAACTAAAAGACCAACTCGAAACTATTATAAATACTTTGCCTTTTTGAATTTTAGAATAAATCAAAAGATGATGATATTATGAATGTAATTCAAATATTTACTTAAAGCATATCTTTTCAAGTCGGAAGGAAAAAATCAAGATTTCTTACTTTATATTTACTGATATATGCTAAAGTAAGAAGTGCCTATCCTGTTTTAGTTTGTCATTAACAGAAAAACCAAAACAGGATATGTGTGCTTGCTTTAGGAGTTATGTGTGGTAAGTTATTGATTCCAGTTGTAACCAGTGTCGTAACTAGACAAATGCAACAGGTGCACCCGCACAGGGCCCACTTAGAAGGGGGACCCAAAATGCATGTATTTGTTTTATTACTTTCCCAAACTTAATTAATTAAGGGGCCTAAATGCAAATTCTTGCACAGGGCACAGGAATGGCTAGTTACAGCACTGGTTGTAACCGATCGATTTTTATCCCCAATTTATGGAAAAGTTATGTTGTGCTGAAAAATGTGAATAACACAGCTGAATTTACAGCTAAAAAGTTGTCCCATGTCATTAAATTTAAAAATGTATGCTTGCTATTATGATGCACAATAGAAGAACAAAGTTGATCATTTGTAAGCACATGGAGAAGAAAAATCTCTAAATCTCGGAAACCATTTTTATTTTATTTACAACTTGTTGGAGTACAACAAATCCTGGCGCCATATACATATAGCCAGGTGAAAAGCGGAGTTGATGGTTACATAATAACGATACATTTAGTAGGATAAAATACATAATAAGGGAATAGGGAAAAATAAGAAAATATAAAAGTATAAAGATATAAAAATATAAAGGTATGAAATATGAGACAATAAAATTAATGGGTACATAGCAGTAAGAAGAATTATACATACATATAATTTGTACAAAATATAAATATAGATAATTACATATCATTACAGTGATGCGAAAATAAGTGATATGAGATGCTGAGGTTAGTGATACAGTTATAAAAATACATAATATCAGGATGATGTGCAATAAAGGCACAGAACACAGTAAGTGAGGTTTCAGTTGAAAGCAGCAACAGTAGTCCTTTTAAAGTACATGTCAATGAGGTGAAGTAGTGCAGCATAGGTGTCACTATTGTTCATAATTCCGTGGAGGTTTTCAGGCCAGTGATAACCATGTGTCTCCATGGAGGTGCGAAGAAGGTGTCTCTCAAGCTCAAGCATTGGGCAGGTGAGTAGATAGTGAAGGCAGCCGTCTTCGACATCGCAAAGGGAACAGCTGAAGGTTGGAGAGTTAACAAATCTAGCCAGGTAGGAATAGAAGCGTCCGTGATTGGTAAGAAATTGGCTGGTACGTTGGGTCGGTCTATACCAGGGGATAGCAAGGAAGGTCTTGATGTTAGGAATGAGTTGATGGGTGATGGGATGATTTTGTCTGTCCCAGTCCTCCTGCCAAAGATCGAGGAGGTCGTTGCGAATGATGTTTTTTATAGTTTTAATATTGATCTTGCTGTAGACAATTGGAAGGTTGTTGTCTTCACAGGCGCTCTTTGCGAGTTCATCGGCCCTCTCGTTACCGAGAGTGCCCTGGTGGGCACGAGTCCAGTAGATGGAGTAAATGTTGCTGGATTTGTTGATGTCACTATGGATGCTGGTGGAGATGGGGTGGTCACAATGGTTTTTTAAGGCTGCAATAGAGGACTCGCTGTCGGTGATGATAGTAACAGTCTGGGAATCATAGTTCGAGGCAGTCCAAGCCACGGCCATGCTTATCGCGTACATTTCCGCCTGAAAGACGGTNTTTTGACACACTAGTTCCATTTGCCTTGAAGTTGCATTGTATTGATTTGCCATTTACAATGTGAACATATTGTAAAGAAAAAATGGAAAGAAATAAATCAGTTATGTGTAAGATGGTTCCATTTTGCATGTAACTGATTTTTTCTTTCCATTATCATATTCAAATACGAATATCTCTTTAAGCTCTTCTTCCGTAAATTGACTGTCTATCATGGGTAATGGTTTTAAATTTTGTTTTGATGCCATGGCTTAAATAATCAAATATTTAAGTGTTATTAATTGAGAAATTATGCATATAAACATTTGTGCATACAAAATAACCAAATAATAATAATAATCTTACCTCTGCAAACAAATTATGAATTATGATATACGATTATAACAAACTGATTGCGAACAGAAATGAACGACTGTCACACTCAAAATCAAATGTAAGGAATGAATATTAGTACTGCTCTTAGTGGTGAATTTCTGTGCTGATGATTAAAGTCACTTTTAAGCAGAGTTTAAAATCTGCTACTCATTAGCACTCCTCCCCCATTAACTTTACTCCACATCTGCGATTCTCAAGAATTCAGAGAACTTGGGGGTCACGAAGGGAAAGGATAATGCTCAATGCTTACAGGATTATGTCAAAAAATAAACAAAAGTACGTATGTAATTTTTTGTGGAATGTATTAAATATTTTAGTGTAATTTTGGCTTGTACTTTTAATATCGGACACCCCTCGTAATTACTCCATTACTCCATACTCCCCTTGTAATTAATCCATTATACTGTATTTTTAATAATACAGTATAATGTAATTACAATATAATTATATACAATATAAGAACTACAATATAATTAATATTAAACAATTTACTTTTTTGTAATTAAAAATAATGCTAATTAATAATACATCCAATTTTAGATTTTTTGTCTACAAATCTTAAAATTTATGATTGCTTTATTTTTCCATAATTTTTCCATATGTTGATACTGTTGAAGAAGACAA